GACCTGGCACCACCAGAAGTATGAAATATCAGCTACTTTACATCATATATACGATGAACGGTATTTTTATAGCAACGAGACCGTCACTCTCTTAATTTTCAAACTCATTTTACGAGCATACATGAACATGTATTGCACTTTTAATTAAAATCCATTAATAACAGTAAAATAGTACAGGATTTAATACACACACAAATCCCAATAGCGTGATATATCAAATGAACAAATAACAAATTAGTGCAGGATATCCTTGTCAGCCAGGCTTGAGGAGGGAGACAAAGGACCCGTGTCCTGGCTGGCGGATTATAACTTGGACCAGGCTGCTACCTGATCAACCAGGCTGTGACTCATACGTCAGGCTGCGAGCAGCCGCGTCTAACAGCCTGGTTGATCAGTCCAGCAACCAGGAGGCCTGGTCGACGACCGGGCCGCGGGGACACTAAGCCCCGGAAGCACCTCAAGGTAACCTCAAGGTAAGGCTGAAGGCGTGAGGGTTGGGTACACCTGCTCTCCACACCCACCCCCATTTAGCATTTTACAATACAACATACCCCCCACGGGAGACATCTCCCGTCACGCAGGGTGCAGTCGCACCTCCACAGATCTCCAGTATCATCTATTGATACTGGTAATGGCTCAAAAGGGCCACCACTTACGGGCTATTCATGCCCGTGCCACCTTTTGGGTGGCTTAACCTTCATCAATCAATCAATCAATCACATACCCCCGCCACCACCAACAGACCACACCACGACTGCCATCACCGCGAGAACAGCCACCCTGACTCAACAACTACAACCCTTCCCAGCTGTACCTTTGAAGCACTGTACTAAACTCACCCTTCTATGAGCGCACATGGAAACTAGATGGACTTGCATTCAATCAATTCAAACTGCCTGCTGAAACGTCCAACAACCCACACTTATACGTCCACTTTTGTTCTGGCAATATGTATTATGTTTCTTGGGAGGTTATTGAATAGCCGTGAGCCTTTGTTGATCAGTCTTCGACCAGACCCTACCATATCAGACAGCACCAATTATCGCCGTTATCACCTCTCCAGACAAGGTATCGTCAACTACAACCTGTAATCAGCACCAGAGGTCAAGATCTGTACCTCGTACCTGTCACAGACTCACCGTTAACAACACTTACTGCTACAAACATTCACCTGGAGGTTACTTACCAAGTACCCAACGTATGTAGGTTAGCTTAGCATTTTAAAAGCACCGAATCACCTTCTGTGGTTGATTGTTCAATAAATCCCGGAACTATATGTTTAACAGATCTCTAACTATGTCCATGGAGGACAAAAGAAAACGTATATATGCTGGTTAGCATTGTAAATGTGTGGCCACGTCTGTGGTAGAGAGAGAGAGAAAAAAAGTACCCAACACCAGTTTTTTTTTCATTTATAGTGCTGACCGATATACTGTATATACAATTTTTTGGTGGCGTTCGTGAACAGAATCCGTTATATGGGCCAGGATGACTCAAACATTTACGCAACTACTTAGGAAACCTGTACATCTTTCCTAAATCATAAAACGACTTTGTTTACACTTATTAAACAGTTTGAGCGCCGAAGCACTACGATGTTGATCCACTTTGTCAATCTTTTACGTCGTTATCATGTTTGCCTTATTCCTTCTAGTGGAGTGATGTCCAGTTCCCCCAGGCTTTCTTCTTAGCTCAGGAACACGCCTTGTTGCAGATTTTTGCACCTTTTCCTAGTCATTTTTCTTTCTTTGGGTAGAGGGTTACACGCCGGGGCAACATACTCAAGAACTGGTCTCACAAAGTATGTCTACAACGCTCAAAAGAGATCTTCTACCTACCTGTTGGGCTTTGTCCAGGTTTCTGAAGGATAACCGTCCGTTTGCCAGTATGGCACATGCTAGAGTCATTATTCTGTTGATGTGTGCCCTCTGGTGTTAGATCTCCAATTATGTCTGCTCCTAAATGTGTCTTTTTTTCAGAAGTGTGAAACCGCCTTAACTTCATTCTGTACTTTCAGGCCGTGGAGCTCCAATTCCTATCTCCACAACCTTGCATGCTCTCTGGCAATCCAGGAAAATACAGTCTGCCCGGCCCTCTCTCTCTCCTGATTGATGGTTGTCATCTTTGTTATAGAATAATAAGTTGGGCAAGCAAGATTTTCCTCTTGCTGGTGTGTGCGTGCGACGCGCCGTTTCCTACCTGGTTTCTAATGCAAAATTAACTCAGAACTGGGTGAATTTTCCGAATAAAAATCAGATGAAAATATTAAGGGGAAAGGCAAAGAGCATATAACGTGATATTGTGGGATATGTAACATGACTCGTAGGAAAGGTAGACCAAAGTCTAATTTAGAAGCAGATTCTGAAAATTTAAGCGTTGCACAAGTTGGTCAGCCTCCTGATAGTAACTTCATAATTATAAATGTCTGAATTATTAGTATGTTACGCTCCATCAGTGGTAGATATGGTGGAGAGTTTTGGGTACGATTGTTGCTTTTACTAACGACTTTATCCCCAGGCAAGTACTCGGGATAATTTCTCTGACGTGGACCAGTTGTCAGAATCTCCTCCACTGTGTGCGCGCCTGGTTATGTAGAGTGGCTATTTCTGTACCTGAAACTCGCTTAAACTGAAACTCTGTACCTGAAACTCGAAACTCGGGGTTCTGCCCGCTTCCCTGGGCCTAATTAACTCTGCAACTGTAAGCTTCCTCACACCCTGGTGTTCCAGAGCACACACTCTTGGTTCGCTAACTTCACCTTCAGCATGGGGAGTAGAAATAGCCTAAGCTACTCTATCCCTTTGAGATGTAGTTCTTTCTTGTCTCAATAAACATACTTGAACTTGAACCTTCAATATTTCCAGTGTCCTGAAACACGCCGGGTGGCCGTTCTACTTAGATACAAGTCACTCTTAGATACTTAGATAACTACATTATCTAAACTACCCATCAACCAGGCCTGGTCAGAGACCGGGCTGCGAGGGAGAACCTTGGCCCCTGGAACCACCGCAAGGTAATCCCAAGATAAGGTATATGAAGGGGGTTACATAGGTTGTGTCTAAACATATCTTTATGATACTAAAATCCTCATCTGGCAGGACAGTCATGCAGGGACATGTAATCACTAGTCTGTACTGGCACATTTTGGGTGGATTCTCAGGATATCCTCAAGAACACGACAGTGGTGCTGGGTTTCAAGCCTATCGCCCTGTAAAGGCTTAATGATGGCCACTAGTGCTTACTGATCGACGAGACTGAATAATTTAGTCATGGACACACACACACATTATATATATATATATATATATATATATATAATATATATATATATATATATATATATATATATATATATATATATATATATATAATATGGGTACCAACTCTGGTGCAATTGCAGGGACCCACATCCTTGAAGAAGAAAACAAAGAGCATTCAGAAGACCTTGTGGATTCTCACTGAACACTTTAATCTTTTCTTCTCCTACCATCCCTATTCTCTATAATGTTCTCTCTTATATATATATATATATATATATATATATATATATATATATATATATATATATATATATATATATATATATATATATATATATAATACACACACACACACACACACACTAGTCCTGGACAAAAGTAAACGCAGTGTATATTCACCGAGAAATGGGTTACATCTCTAGGTGTATGTATACCTGATGACGTAGGGTCTCTTTGACGTGGCGAGGCTCTCGCTTGATTTCCCGCCAACTGCGTCATGAGCTAGTGTTACCGAGTAGATCACTTCGCCTCCTGACGCACCAATGCGATTTGTTTGTTTACGATAAGCGTCTAATTAGTCGGCCTGAGGTCGTGGCACCACGACCTCTCTATAACCTTGGCTTCTGGGCTTCTGTTGGTTGGTTGGTTATCTGCTTTTCATATGCATTTTTTTTTATTTTGCCCCGAGGGGTGAGTTTATTGGGCAGCGCCACTTATCTTGTGAGAGGACATACCGCCATAGCAGCATGTACAACACTCCCCAATAGGAAGAAAACCCGCTGGGTTGTTCATCCTGTCTATTAAATGCATTTTAATACTTATCTTGGAAGCTGGCTAATTTTCTGTCTGTTTTAGCGACTGGTCGAGTTGTATTGCCGGAACAAAAGTGGAGTTATTCGAGAAAATTATTTAAAGTTTCCTGCAAGTTGGTCCGACAACCCAGCTGTTGGACCAACTGGGTTGTTGTGGTCAAGCGTGTCCGCAGCAACAGTCTGTTGTCACAAATTAAGCCTGGCCCCAGGCCGGACTTGAGGAGAACAACTCTCAGAACCCACTCCAAGTACGATGTGTTCTTGGTTGACTAGTATGGCTTGGTGGCTAGATGGCTGAGAAGCTGTCTTGGAAGTTGGCTAGTTGTGTGTTGGTGGATGACAGGCTGAACAATTATGGCTTGATAGTCGTAAATCCTACCGCCAATATTGTTTATATTTACTGATAGACGGCTCAATACTTGAGGACCTCAAATACCTGCTTGATACCTGCTTGATGGGGTTCTGGGAGTTCTTCCACTCCCCAAGCCCGGCCCGGGGCCAGGCTTGACTTGTGAGACTGGTCCACCAGGCTGTTGCTTGGAGCGGCCCACAGGTCCACATACCCACCACAGCCTGGCTGATCCTCATAATTTAAATATCCTCATAATGTTCTCCACCTGTACTTATGGAACCTCGAATCTTCACTAGGTCTAATCTACTGCATCACTTGTACCAATAACCTATAATTGCATTGTGCAAATTATTTAATTACATTCTGCGTGCAGGATAGGATCTCTCATACCTTACATTCCAGATATTTATCCAAGCTTGAAAGATAAGATGTTGTTACTAACTGTCGGGAATACGGCAGTTCCCCTTCCCTTACAAGCTCCCTAAACCACCCAAACCATCATGTGGCTCGTTTACTCAGTGACGCCACGAGCAACGGCGTCGCCGGCCAATGGTAAGGCGACAAAGGTGGTGTCACGTGGACTAGGTGGTGGTCGGGGCAGTCGGGACCTGCCTGACCCAGGTGCTGCTAGGCTAGTCAGGGCTGGACCGTCCTGACTGGAGAATAGGTAAGGATTAGAGCTGTAGTTCAAAGGTTTGGGGTTATCTTGAGATGATTTCGGGGCTTTTTTTTTTTTTAATGTCCCCGCGGCCCGGTCCTCGACCAGGCCTCCACCCCCAGGAAGCAGCCCGTGACAGCTGACTAACTCCCAGGTACCTATTTACTGCTAGGTAACAGGGGCATTCAGGGTAAAAGAAACTTTGCCCATTTGTTTCTGCCACGTGCGGGAATAGAACCCGCGACGCAGAATTAAGAGTCCTGCGCGCTATCCACCAGGCTACGAGGCCCCTTCTTAATAATTATATTTGCTTGTTTCGCCACCGAACATATTTGCTACCTTACAGTTTTCTCCCGTCTAGTAATGGACTGCAAGTACCATTGCAAGAATAATTATAATAAGACTATATATTTAAAATTTACGTCTCCGTGGTGTAGTGGTAAGACACTCGCCTGGCGTTCCGCGAGCGCTCTGTCATGGGTTCGTATCCTGGCCGGGGAGAATTTACTGGCCGCAAATCCTTAACTGTAGCCTGTTTAACTCTACAGTAAAATGGGTACTTGGTTGTAACAACGATTTTTCGCGGCGGGGATCGTATTCCAGGGACCTGTCCGAAACGCTACGCGTACTAGTGGCTGTAATGTAACAACTCTTGTATATATCTTTAAAAAAAAAAAAAAAAAAAAAAAAAAAAAAAAAAAAAATTAGCGTTTCCGTACTTGTGTCGTCCACAGGGTCTTTACCATCTAGGCGAAGTACAGGTACTGAGGACAGGTACAGGCAGACGTAACAGTGTACGGAGCAATACTCTAAGTTGAAGCCCGCAAGTAATTTGAAAAGTTAACATTTGAAAAGCATACAAAGTGTTAGTCACAACCCGTACTGATTTTTCCCGAGTGATTCAAAGTTAGATTTGTTTGCTAGGTCAAGATAGGTCGACAGACATCATCAGCCATAGATTGACATGTTTCAGTTCTACGGGGAAGATATGATAGGAAGATTTGATATAGGATCCAAGACGTTATCTTGGTGAATGACTGGGTGTTTGTACAGATGTGCGCGCGTGTACCTCATTTGCTCTTCCTCCCCCTCACGCTCATTTTCCTTTCTCCCAGCTCGGATTTGTGGCAGGAAAGATCTTCTGTACTGTGCTCACACAATTCATATCAGCTCAGACCATGTCACTTTAAAGAGGTAGTGGGAGGGAAGGGAGGTAGAAACAAACGGACTTGTGAACGACCTTGCGCCTGGCCAGGGCCCACCACCCCCACCACCCAACATAACACCAGGGAAAAACTCATCACCCACGCTGTGAGGGCAGCTCACCATCACCACCGCTGCCCCTGGTTACACACATGGATGTCTGCTCTGGGTCTCTGGCTTAGTGTCTGGCTCGTGCCACATCTCTGTATAGCTTCTGAAGAGATGGCTGGATAATTGTTAGTGAGTTTACAAATATTGTAAATATTTATCAATATTTTTTATCGAACGTATTATTCTCACGTTTTTTAACTAAACGGGTCGGAGGGGGATGAGCCCATATAGAGTTGGGGGTCGTTCTGAAGTGTCGCAGCCTGTTTAGAACACTGGGAAATAGAACAAGGGCACACGTCTGAAAACTGTAACAATAGGGTCGGAAGAATGACTTCATTACGTCCCTCTGAGTAGAAAAAACTTTAGGAGGAAGCAGCAGGACACCCCCCCCCCCAAAAAAAAAAAAAAAAAAAAATTAGGGTCTCCCTTATTATATATACACACACACCCGTTCTTACAAGACATACAAACATTCCTTTCCTAAACAAAATTGAGAAAACATGAGCAAGATAGTTTATAATACATGGGAGGAGGAGGGAAGGGGGGTTTTGGGACGGGGTTCAGACTGGATCATGGAGACAAACGCCTCTCCATTGACCTCTGCTCCCCACCATTTGCCACGAAGCCTCTTTTAATTTATTCCATTAGTAAAGGGCTTTCGGTAATTTCTTTTACTTGGCGAAACTCTGCAGCAAAATGGCCGTGAGGAAAGTAATATAAGTTTGTGGAGAGATGTTGGTGGTTGCAGGAGGGCGGTGGAGAGGCGGACGAAGGAGAGCCAAGGTTCTTGGCTCTCTTGGTATTGTGAAATATGTTAATGCCAAGCATATTTCACAATACCAGAATACAGCACAGTAAATGGTTATAAAATATTATAATTGTTATATAACTAACAATGTATGGTAATGCAGTATTAATGTTCCATTTATTAAAACGTATAAATAATTGAACTCGACAATTGGAGGGGGGGGATATCCAGTAGTAACGTAAAAACCATCGTTACGAGAGTGTTATGCAAGAGGACTGCAGAACAATAACAAGTTACCAGTGATTGTAATAACAATGACAAGCGAGACAAAAGACAATTCACCACACGCCTACATACAACTTAAATGAGATAAAATTCACCTCGCTACAATACCTCTGGGAACACGTGCTGTAAAATTCAATGTTTTAGTCATTTCCCGGCTTGGCGCCTTCTTTTGGTAATTACTTTAGTCAAACTCCTATAGCTGTAAGACTTAAACGTGAGACATAAATCAACTTTACAGTCACAGCTGAATACAAATATGTGAATCAAAACGTTCAAGATATATTCTTTTTTAATATAGATATAAGTCTCGGTCCAAAGTTGGAGGGCAGGGGCTTGGGGATTAGCTTTACCCAAATTGGTATAAGGAATGGTCTGGGGTACGGGATGAACATAGGCTATTTGAGGTCGCCAGAATTCGAAAGGAAACGGTGTGCCAGGATCATTCAGTCCCCTCCTGTGAAGATTTTCGCCACTGCCTCTGTGTGTGTGTGTGCGCGCGCGTGTGTGTGCGTGTGAGAAATGTATGTAGTAGATATAGAGAAAAAAATACATTGGTTAGAAAGGCGGGGTCCAATAGTTAATAGCTCGATTCTACAGACACAAATAGTAAATGCACAGAACAGAGGCAGAAACAAATGGACATAATTTTTCACCCTGATGCTCCTGTTCACCTAACAGTAAATGGATACTTGGATGTTACAGCAGCTAGGGGATGCTTCCTGGGGATGTGTATGCGAGAAATATACATGTAAAATTCATAACGGAAGAAAAAAAATAGATCAGTTAGAAAGGCGGGATCCAAGAGCTAATAGCTAGATTCTGCAGACAGAAATAGTAGATACACCCCCCCCCCCCCATCCCTGAGAACGGGCTCTTGTGTAAGGTGATTTGAAAGACCCCCCCCCCCGCCCCCCTCAAACCACCTGGATATGGATATTAGTGATGGTGTAAAAACATGTTATGGTTCAAATAATAGTCTAGGATAGTATCGAGCGGGTCGAGTTGTAACGGGGGTTGGGGGAAATAGCTCTATCTTGTCCATTATTCCACCCCCCAGTTAACTAACGAGGCCGGGGGAAACAGCTCTCTCTAGTCCGTTATCCCGTCCCCAGTTAGCTAACTATTCTAGAGCACTCCCAGAGTTCCTAAGGCAACCTCTCTGGTTCAACACCTTGTAACCTAGGTATTCGACTTCCTAGGTGCTAAGACCACAAGGCGCCGTCACTTGATCAGTTACCCGAAACTCTAGAGAGAACTCTAGAATACATAATCATTGCCACAAACGTATAAGAGAAAACGAAAGGAAAGAAATGAATAGTGAAGTAATTAGTGAGGGTTTGGGGTGAGAGGGAGAGAGGTGGGAGGGGCGAGGATGGTCATTAGTTGAAAGTGAGAGTTTAGAGAGGAGTGGAGGGAGAGGAGTAGATAGGTAGAAGGAGAAGAGTAGATAGTAGAAGTAGAAGAGTAGATAGTAGAAGACGAAATGCTGCCACCATCCATTCATGATCATTACATACAAGACAAGGAATGGAACTTGCCTGTATCACAAAATTCTCAAAGGATGTTATCATGAGTTCATTATTAGTATGTTCCCTCTGTACCATGTATCCATTCTAAACCATGAAACCAGTAATCACAGAGGCTTTCTCACCTCAACTCAATTCTCTAGGGAACACAGTGAAAGACCATTTAAATCATAAATTCAACAATTATATTTTTCATGATAAGTATCATAACTTAAGCAATCCAATTAAAATGTTAACGATTAATATTCAAAGTGAGTCATCCTCCAAGAATCTGAGAACACTACAACTGACTGCCCCTGATCATCACACAACACTTGTAAAACACGACCAAGTCACCTTAATGTTCACTCACCGAGGACTGAGTCTAAGTTGAATAGAGAGGGGAGGGGGGTGTCTGTAGCTTGACAGAGACTGTCTCGCCCCTGCCGGCCGACAGCCTCCCTGCTAGGGACGTCTTCTCTGCTCTCGTCTGCTGTTCTGTCTGTTAATGCTTCATGCTGGATAGCTCTCCGAGTTTATATTGGGGAACCTAGTAGCTAACTCCGCCCACAAGTAGATAGCCTCCGGCACTCTACCAAGCCACTCCTTAAACGTCGGCATGTTTGAAGGCTACCCGGCTCCAACTAAGAGATTAGTAGAAGCAAGGTGAAATTCGCATGATCTGACCTCAGGTCACTTGGGGTCATTAACGCTTTGAGGTGTGAGTTTCAGGCCGACAGACTGGCGCCTCTCAGATCTTTGTCTGTGACTCATGTACTCTATGTATGTATTAAACTAAACCAAACACTTTTACAGTGTTACAGAGTTCACTTGAAGCGTCGCCATGACGTAGTGGTGAAAATTTGCTCAAGTCTCTGACACGTACACAACAAATTATGATAACACGTACACAACAAATTATGATAACAAGTGGTGCTTCACATCAGATATTTAACGTTTTCACTTGCCAGGTGTTTACCGAGTGACCTACTTCAGTCTTCGAAGTAATTACTTTGTGTAGAAAATTATACATAGCTTTATTATTCATTAAATTCAATGTTGGTAATTTCCGCTACTGACCGAGGGTGGTAGCAGACAAGGGGTAAAGGGCCGCTACGAAAGCCAGTCCAATTAGGCAAGACAGGCCAGGAAATCCC